TAATATATGTATATCAGACGTGATAACTTACATATCAACACCATGGTAACTTTTGACCGGGGGTGGGGATTTGTTGAAAACTTCTCCCCGATAATGTATGTGCGAAAAGTATGGTTTTTCAACGGATCACATAGATAATAATTAGGCTCAAACAGCATGATATTTTTTAGGAGGGGGGGGGGGTTGTATCCTGATAATTTTTATGTAAAGTTATTTTCTGATAATTTTTACCTAAAGCCATCATGTTGCCCATGCTAAACTTAACATGCTTCTCATGCTCTAGTAATCAGCCTTCTAACCATATAATTACCAACCTTGCTATGCTTTTTGTTACCAGGTTGCCAAAGTTGAAATTATCAACCTTATCATCTCAAAAGTTACCATGCTACTCGTGCTTTAGTTATCTGGCTTCTAACGATGTAGTTATCAACATTATCATGGTAAAATTATCAAAGTTATCACGCACTATTTATCAACCTTATAACGATGCAATTATCAACCTTACCATGCTATTTTTGCTTACCAGGGTGCCAACGTCGAAGTTACCAGGATGGTCAGGTCATAGTTATCACGCTGCTTATGCCGAAGTTACCAAGCCTTAATTTTTTTTTTGCTAATATGGTGGGTCCACATGTCGTGCATAACTTGAGCAGTAGCAAAATTTACCTTTATTAGCAAACTACTAGGCATGTTAAACCCGGGAGACTGTTGAATGAGGTTTGGTATGGTGATTGATGAAGTTGCAAAATTATATGTTCTGCTCCATGTTCAAGCCAGGAGCCGCTTAAGTCCAATTTTTTCACTCTATAATGTATAGCTTTACTTATATACGTTTGGATGTAAGTTCATGCTCCCTCTGATGTCGTGAAGTGGGAGATGAACTGAATTATATCTATGTACATGGTTATATAGCTTACCAGATGTTTGACCATCAGGTTGGGTACTGATCGACTCATTTTTTAGGTGAGAATAGAAAGTGGCCATGAGTCATGTAAATCTGTAGTTGCTTCTTCTTCTTTTTCTTCTGCAAGGGATGCTTTAGTTTATTGAGAACCAAGGAATCTGTGATACGGCTATTTTGTGGAAAAGAATGATATTTCCATGGTCTACAAATTTATATGACAGAATTAAGAGATGCTTTTGTATGGCAGTGTTAATAATTAGATATCGAGTGTCATGTTTTCTGGAGAAGTTGCATTAAGGCTTCAAGATGTACTAAAGTAGTTTCATATCGGCTACAATTGTCTCGCAGAAGTTGTACTAAAGTAGTTGGTCTAATTGTCAAATTAGGATATGTACTGAAAAACTCCAGAAAATTTGATAGGATCATATAAATTTCTGCTCACCACTGTCACATACACAGTCTGACTCAAACATTACGTACATATATCTGATATAATATATTTTATAAGGATAGCTTTGTCTACACAACTATCTTGAATAGAAGGCCCACTGTGCTCTGTTTTGACGTTGTCCAACTCTTGTATCTCGCTTTTGTATGTCCAAACATAAATCAATCGCTTTACTACAAGAGGTGCATTACAACACATAAACTTTCAAATTCCAATATATCCTATAGCTTAGGCAATAGCTTGAGCGCCATCCAGCTCCAATCATCATCTGAAGATACCTTGGCTTGCCGAACGAGGCAAAGTGGATGCAAGTTCAACACTAGTTTGTACAACAATTTATTTTCTCTAGAGATGAACTTGCAGCTGAACATGCAGACAAGAATACCTGGAAAAAATAGGAACATCCACTATTTTCAGGTGCATATCCAAGACGAAAGATCAACAAAATTATCTACTTGGATAAAGTTTATGTTATGCTAAAGGCCATGTGAATGATACTGCTTAAGATTTGCATGCCAGATCATGTCTCTTACTCCTAAAATCATTGGCTAGTGCTGATAACAAAAAAAGGTTCTTACTTGCTGCCATTAAAAAAAGGATTTGTGTACAAGATTTTGATCTTAATGCTTGTTCTTCATTTCTGCAAGCTTATGTGGTACAGAAAAATTCAAAACAAGAGGAGTATAGCTAACCTGAAACTGTTATGGATCAACTCAAGAATCATGTTCTTTTTTTAGAAATAAGGGGCACACCCCTTGGTTTCATTTTATTAGACTGCAAGCACAAGTGCACAAACAGTGTGATTCCTCGGATGCCAGCACAAGCACAACCATCAGATTTACTTCAGAAACAGTTGGAAAATGTAGCGACAGCCACAAGTCGGCCAAAGTACAATCAGAATCATCGGCCAAATAAATGTCGCCGAACAGGAGCGCTTGAAGATAGAGCATCAACAAAGATGGAAAATCGCAACATGATTCCTCCGCAAAGATAGGACACCGTTAGCACTAACAGGGTCTCGAACTAGCTTGCAGTTAAGAATCATAAGAATCATCGAATCAAAATCAAACTGTATATCTATAATTAAAGTTCACACGTACTACAGTTACATGTATCAGGATTCATTTAATTGGTAAGATCACTCTAGGCATGTGGCTTGCAGCTAGAAAATAAATCATGAACAAGATAATGGACTAGTAATGCTTTCAGAAATTTCAGTTGGACATGGAAAGTTCAGTTTCATTTTGAGACCAACAAAGTGAACCAGAAGAAAAGCACAACAAATATAATCTATTCCAGGCATGTATGCTAACTCCCTGGTAGCCATTTTGCACATACCCATGAAATTCAGGAACAAATCTTACTTTACATATTCCAAGGCATATGGATACTCTTTACAAATTAGGGACGGGAACAACGAGCACATCACTTACACAATACATGAATAATCGAATAGGGGATCATACCCTGGATCCTTTAAGCTGCAGAAGATGGGCGACTCCATGGCGATGGCAGCGTCACCGTTGACCGGATCTACAACATGGCGGCGCTGACGGTGGCTGGCTGCTGGGTGAGGTAGTTTCAGAGGATAGGAGGGCCATCGGTGCCAGAACTAGGTAGGATAGTCCGGCGGATGGGGAGAGAGTGGTGATAGAGCTATTTGCTAACCCTAGCTTACAGTTCGCCTGGTACTGGTACAGAAAGCGAACAGAGGAAAGGAAGAAGACAATGGGATTTCAGAGGGACACTTTGCACAGTTAAATGGTTTTACAAGGACCATTATGTAAAATGTACCGGCGGCCACCTGATGGTAACATCCTGTCCATGAACTTTTCATCCAGTGGCGCAGAATCCTTCGGAGCATTCGTAGCACAAGTTCAGCCGTAGCACTGGAT